AGATAATGTTTCAATTAGTAAAATTTTGTATTAAAGTTCTGACAAGGCTGTCAAAGAATAAAAAAAAAAAAAAAAAAGTTGTAAATTATAAAAAAAAAATTTACAAAAATGTTATAAATAATTTATTTTTAAAATATTAAATTTTTTAGAAAAATTAAGATATATTAATTAAATTGTTTTTTTTTGATATTAAGATGAGATATCAATTAAATTGTATAAAACTTTTAAAATATATGTATTATAAAAAATACAGAAGGTAGTTTATTTTTGAAAATGTATAATAATAGTTTAATAAAAAATACAGAAGGTAGTTTATTTTTGAAAATGTATAATAATAGTTTAATAAAAAAATATTAAATTTATAAAAATTTTTTGATTTAAAAAATTATATTAATTTAAAAATTTTTATAATGGCTTTTCACTGTATATGTACGTACGTATAAAAATTTTATTGACTGAAATGCATAACGATAATTAATTCAAATAAATAACCAATAAAAACAAATTTCTATTGTCATTATATTACCATATGCAGATATGTACGTACTGTATCTAATTAACTAGTGTAAATTAATTAATTACAATGTTTTATATAATTTTATTGGTTGGCGAGAAATTGAGATTGTAGAATACGTACGTATAGTACGTATAACTTTTCAACACTATGTATAAAATGATTTAGCAAATTTTTAATAAAACAAAAAACCAGTTAAGTTTTAATCAAAACATATTTTATTTATATAGAAATGAATAATATTGCCAATATATTGACAAATATGCTTAAAATTTATATTTTTCTTTGTATTTGATACGAAAGGTAAAAACCTGATCTAAACTTTATTACGTAGTTATCAAATGAATTAGTGATACAAGAGTGCATTTTATCCTGGAATGAACAAAAAATATCGGAGCGGTGCACCAAGATTTATTAGCGTTAGGGTTAGAAAAAGACAAATTCTGCAGGCTACAAATAGATCGCTTTAAATAATAGTAAATTTCGTTTCACAGTAATTCCATAAAGGTTGTACCATGCAGTTTTTCATATGTATTTTCATGCGAAAATATAACCTTCCAAGAACCATGTTCGAAAAATGTAGATTCGGATCTTAATTTGAATAACCGGATGTTATACATTTATTTATAGGGAGATCCCCAAAATTCCGGGGCAGGTAGCTTTTACTTAATAAGTTTTCTATGACTTCATTGGTGAATTTTGTGTGGTCATAAGACAAAATATTATTTATTTAATACCAGCCCAGCCGACTTTGGATCCGATCTAACGAACGGAGGATTTTGGAAAAGATTAACATTATACACATATTGTATATACATTAAATGAATGAAGTTAGAATTTTCTTAACATAAAAAAAACTTAGCATAATTTTCTATAGGTTATAACAGATTGCACATGTACGTAGTATTATTTGCTAAATAGAATCTTCTGAGATTGTTGTTTGGTGAACAGGAGCTGCGAGAGTCAAGAAACTGATGAAAGAACAATCTACTTTGGGCAAAGATCATTGTGTGTAGGTTCTTCAAATACATAAATACATAATTAATAGACTTTCCGCATAATCCGCTGAGTACGTAGTCCCGGACATTTGATCCTATATTTAAGGAAAAAACAAGATTACAATTGATTGATTAAGAAAAAAGGCCGAAAACAAATTAAACAAGTATTTCGTGCGTAATATGGCCGAATAATGGACACAACAGCAAGAGTAATAAGGAAAATTTAGTGAAAATCAAAATAATGATAATAATGGTGTTCGATAAATGGATGATTTGGATTTTTTTTTTTTTTTAGCAATTTAAAAGGAAATTGGGCAAATAAAAAATTTGAACCCTAAAATTCCTTTGTGGCGTTAGATTGCTTTGTTTAAATTAGAATTGATAAACGAAATGGTAATGTAGCCACACTTTTGTTTGAATTTTCACCTGCCAGATCCCTCTTTTATTACAACCCCAATTGCTGGGGCCCGGTGTAAAATACCAAGGTAGTCTTTGGCGTAGCAAATTTAAACATTTTAAACCGGTAAATTTGAGTCAGATTTACGTCATATAGATTACTAACATATTTACAATTTATAATAATCTCAAGCTCTGATTGAACCTTTTAAATTTCACCGGTCGTGAAAATTCTATCCCTCTCTTTAACCTTTTTTGTTCTCCTCATTCGCTATTTTTTACTAAAAATATTCATCTTTTGTAGAAAAAAATCGCTTGGACGAAACCTTTACTCTTATATTAGGTAGTCTCCGCTTATTGTCTAGCTTTGTCAACTGGTCGTTACATCATAATAATATAACATAAATATATTTATATATTTAGACTCAAAGTACCTCAGTTCTTTACCCTTTCTACTATTTTTTTTATATATATATATATATAATAAATATATATATATATTCCGTCTTTAATTTCCTTTCTTTTCTTCTTTTTCTTCCTTGTATTAATATTGTACCTAAAAAGTTCAGGAGAACGAAAACCCCCAAATATTATAATATTTTTAACCAAATAGACCTCGTTGGCAATTTGCATCTGACAAACTAGAATGACTTTAATTTGTACCCAATCTCATGTTATTCATCCATTAGACCGCGCTTGTACAGAAAACTTTAATATTCCCCCGCGGTCGTCTTCTGCTTCACCGGAAAAAAAGTCTTCCGAATTTATCTCTCAAATGTGTACGACCACTCCGCCGTCTTCATCTACCTATAATGACAAGATGTGCGATCTACCAAGTATAGTTGCTCCTTGTCCCAAGAAAGCTTTGTATGCATATGCAGGTCACTTGTCCAATAATAATTTTGCTCCGATTTTGCCGCATTCTGAAAACCCTTGGGGCCTGTCTGCTGTTCAAGAAGACATGGAAGAAGATCATTTAATTTTTGATAATTCTGTTGACCTTCTTGAAGCCATGTATGTTTTTTTTTTTTGATATATATTCTTATCCTCTATATTTGATTTATTCTTTATCACCTATTAATCTTATTAATTTATCATAAAAAAAGGTCTGATGATGCCCTTGCTTGTGCTGAACTTTTAGAAATAATGGGTAATTCAAGTGGCGGCTCTAGCAGCCCTGTTTCTCAATCTGCATCTCCGGAAAATGTTCATCCTGTTAACTCTACGTCTCTTATTGTAAAAGCTGATCAAGACGACAAAGACCTTGCTAATAAAAATGACCATGATCTTACTCCTTATTCCGGTGCGATTGAAATTAGTCAAACGAAGCAGAGACTCGAATCTCGTCCAATGCGATTGCCTGTTGATAACTTTCATTTGATTTTTGGTTCTTCTCCTATTACTCGAGCTCATAATCCGCTACCTATGGACTCGCATTTCTCCCCAAGTAAACGTCATCATCATCAAGCTCAACCATATCCTTCTCGTCCTGCTCTCCATCAAGCCGCTAATATTCAAAAAAGATTGTGTGACACTGTTTCTAATGTCCAAATCGGTGGCGGTTCCCTTGATGATTCAGTTCAACCTCCTCTTTCAAAAGCTTCTAAAGCTGCCATTTTATTGCGTATATCTGAAGGTGGTAGACGTAGATCCTTATCTGTCGGAAGCGCCGGGTTAAAACCCGGTAGCAAATTTAGTCGTGTGTAAATCAATTAGGTCTTTTCATATATAGTTCTCACTCTCATATCTGTACATATTTTGTTAAACTTTTCTTTTGCACATATTTTGTTAATTTGCGCATTTTTTTTTTTTATATATCGTAGAGTTTTTTTTTTCAAAAAAGGAAAAAAAATTTTGTACACAAATTCCGCATTATACTTTTGGTTCTTTAGTACATATGTTATTTTATTATTTTATGTATCTGCAAAACTTATTTTTTTTTTCTCGCATTTATATTATTTTCTTCATCTTATAATTTATTCTTTGGGTCATCGTTGTTGAACTTTTCGCCTAAGATAGTTGTATAGCAAAGGCGACAAAGTTCAATTATTTCTTCTTAAAAATGATGACCAACTCAAATTTTACAATCTTATATTATTGTATCTTTTACCCTTTAAATTTGTTTATATAATTTTGAAAATTTCTTGTTAGAGAGTGAGCAAAGAAAATTTCTGGAAATTAATAAATCTGTCTATATTTTATTAATGATAACTTTGTCTTAATAAATGGTGAACGTACGTATGTACTTCAGCTAAACTGTGAAACTGTGATAGTGACAATAGTGACAACCATTATGTGATTATTAGCTAAAATAATAAAAAAAATTAAATGATTTTTTTTTTAAAAAAAAAATGCGAACTTGTTATTACGAATTATTAGACGTTGAACAATACGTAACCACGGAAGAATTAAAGAAAGCTTATCGTAAAAAAGCTTTAGAATGGCACCCTGATAAAAATCATCATCGAGTTGCAGAGGCTACAGAGCAATTCACCCTTCTTCAACAAGCTTACGAAGTTCTATCGGATCCAAACGAAAGGGAATGGTACGAAAAATAGTTAAATTCGGATCCACTTTTTGCCTTTTTTTTTATTGTGTACATTATTGCTCTTACAGGTATGATAACCACCGGGATGCGATTTTAAGAGAAGGTATGTCATATAAATATAAAAAGAAATAACATTTCAATTGAATTCGATTCAATTAGATTCAGTCCGTTTGATTTTTAATCTTTTTTTTTTTCTTTATAGACGATGATATTGATCAGAATGATGATGATTATAATGATAATTCCACGACTAATGTCAGACACCAAAGTGTGGCAGGAATTAGTGTAGAAGATCTCATGAAATATTTTAACATTGGATGCTATAGTGGTTTTGATGATAGCTCAAAGGTATGTCTTTTTATTATTATTATGATTATTATTATGCGACAGGGTGAAATCCGCGCTTGGATCACATGAGGGTGAAATCCGCTTTTACATCATAAAAAACAGCCAAACGCCTAACGTGATCCACATAGCGAATTTTATTAATTTACAGTGCGAATTTCACCCAGTCATATTATTATTAAAAAAAAATACATTTTAAATATATTTTCAACGACATTTTATGATTAGGGATTTTATACTGTTTACCGAAGTATATTTGAACAATTAGCTAGAGAGGAAGAAGAAGCTTATGCACGTGACCGAGAGGAAAATTCATCTGAATTTCTTCCTTACCCATCATTTGGTGATAGTACTACATCACCGGATCAAGAAAGTCCACAATATGGAAATTTAATTAAATATTTTTATCAATCATGGTTGAACTTTTTTACACGAAAAAAGTTTGCTTGGTTTGATAAACATAGATTGTCTGAGGTAAAATATATGATTAATAAATTTTGAAATTATATTATATTTATATATATATAATTAATCAAAGTAGGCACCAGATAGGTGGGCAAAGAAAAAGATGGAAGTAGAAAATGAAAAGTCTCGTAAATTAGCTCGTAAAGAGTATAATGACACTGTTAAAGTAAGTTTCTTAATTATTCCATTTAAAAGTTTTATTACTCATTTATAAAATATTTATAAATATATTTAGTTACTAGTTGAATTCGTGCAAAAACGTGATCCACGTTATCAAGCTTATAAGATGGCTGCTGATCAAAAAAATAAAGCTCAACTTGTTGAAGCAAAAAAACGATCTGTTCGTGATCGTGCTGAACATCTTTCTAAATTAAAAGAATATCAGGAACAAGAGTGGACAAAAGTTGTGGATGATTATGTAGAAGAGGATGATGACGATGATGATGAACCGGAAGATGAATTCTTCTGTGTTGCATGCAATAAAAATTTTAAAAGTGAGCAGCAATGGGTGAATCATGAAAAAAGCAGAACGCATAAAATCAATGTAAAATTATTGAAGGAAGAAATGTTTGAAGATAATGAAGATTTAATAAATTTAGATGATCAAAATAAGGCAAATCATAATGACATAGATGAATTGGTAAATGAAAATACAAAGGACATTGAAGATAACTTGTTTACAAAGAGTTCTAAAAAGAAAAAAAAACCAAAGAAGAGGCAACTGACTCCAAATTGGGGACACGAGGAAGCTGAGGATGAAGTTGTTCTGGATAAGATAAAATCCGATTCACCTAATGATGACGATGAATTATCTGAACAGTTAAACAAAACAAAAATTTCTTCTAGAGGTGGTTTTGAATCTGAGGAAGAATCTAATAAGACTCAACCCCTCTTAAATATTGACGACGATAATTCAATTAAACAAGAAAATGGTACTAAAAAAGAGAAGAAAAAGGATAAGAAAAAGTCTAAAGATCTTAAACAGGTGAATAACATATATATAATTCATATTATTTTATAAATCTTTTATTAACTATACATATATTAATATCATCTATAGCAAAAGTGTAATGTTTGTTCACAGACCTTTACATCAAGAAATAGTTTATTTACCCACATTAAAGAAACTGGGCATGCATTAAATGTTAGTGGTTCCGGTGGCGGGAAAAAGGGGAGGAAGTGATTTTGTCATTAGACAGGATTAATAATTTATTCATTTTAAAAATACTTAATAGAGCTTTTTGACTGGTTCAAAGCATTACTATTATTTCAGTTTAGAACCTTGTAAAGTACCCCTGGTTTACAGTACCACCTGTTGATGCGATTTTTTTACATAATAAATTTTTTTTAAAAAACTGGTTTACGATATTTGTCACAGCGGGTACTTTAGCCCACGATGTATGATATTTTATTATCGGCAAAATTTGTTCGATATTATTACCGAATTTTATGTGCCGTTAAAATTACACTTTCACGTGACAGTGTTTAAAAATCTTTGAAAAACGAACGTTTTGTTTTGATCTTCCTGATCGTGTAACGTTACATCAAAATGAGACTCGCTATTGGATGATCTCACGTGAAAGTGACATTCGATAGCGATAGCTCGAATTTCACGCGTCCTAATAAATAAAAAAGCTCGTTTCTATCGTTTCTTTATATTATCGATAATCTATTTGAGAATGGACAAACAGCAATCATCTATCTCCAAGAATATTGTATCTGAAATCATCAGTCTCAAAAAGAAATTTGAGACGAGTGACAACATAGAAATGATTCAAGAAATTCAAGATAATATTCGAAAAATTGAAGAAGCTATGAATAAAAAAAGTGAACAAACTCGAAATGAATTGAGAGGTATATTTTAGTCGTGCATTAACTTGAATGATACTACTTAAACATTGTTATTGTTGGCCTAATAATATCGACTTTTTTTTTACAAAAGCGTTAAGTAGAAAGTTAAAAACCCTCAAATCCAGCGCAAAAAGACCAAATGATCAAAATGAGCGTGATTTCAATGATCTTATAATAAAACACGAACGTGAAAAGCTCGTTTTAAATAAATCTATTTCGAACTTAACTGAAGAGACAAAATATCCTTTTTTTTGTTAAACAATTATTAATCGACGCGTTGATCTTAATTACATTTTCCTTGACTTAAAATTTTTTCGAGGTTACTGCTCTTGAAGCTACTCTTGAAACGTTGCAAAACGAATTATATCAATTGGAACATACCAATGTTGAAGATCTTGTTTTGCCGAAACAGGATGCTATATCGTAAACTATCTGAGATCTATCTTAAACGTGTTCGTTTACCTTTTATAATCTTGTGAATGAACACGTTTAAGATATTTTTTTTTACAATTTTATATAATTTTTCTAATCAACTTGTATATCTTCGCTTAATTCGACATTATGTAATCTAACCCATATTCGGATTTTTGTATTTGGATTTCAGACTTCAACTCCACATTTATCGTTCCTTGGGTATTCAATTTTTTGAAGATCAAGACACTCATAAGTTAAAAGCAAGAGTTGGTAATGTTAATTTGAACATTTATTTTATATTATGTATACATTAGTCTAATTTAATTCATTCAATAGAGGGGCCTGACGGCGTTCATACGGTTTTTGTTGATGATAGACATTCTCAACATTTTATTGCAAACTATCTATGGGAATTATCAACTGGTCCAAACTAATGGTTATAGCATGGGGGACTTTCTCATTTTTCGGAAAATATGGTATTTTTTATGCATTTACCCACCTTTTCTAGCATTTTGATTGGATATATTATGTAAACAACATCGACGATCCCTTTTTAAAATTTAATATTTTTTACATTTTTTAGCAATGGTTTTTTATTTACTATGTGATTAAACTAATAAAAGTTTTATTGAATTTGACCTAGTAATTATTAAGAAAATTTAATGTAAAGTTTAAAAAAAATATTAAAAATCAAAAATATAGTTATAATTATATTTTTAAAATTTAAATAAAAAAATTTTTTTTAAATGTTAATTATTTAACAAACAATTTAATTTTTTTATTTTTTTTTAAGGGTAGAGTATACTATTTTAAAATTATATATAAACTTAATGATAATTTTTTTTTATATTAAGTAAAAGTTGTAGAGTAGGTTTTTTTGATTTTAATAATAACAAAATTATTAAAATTGGTTAAAAGCTTATTAAAATATGAATTTTTAAATATTAAAATATAAAATTATATAATAAAATTAACTTATAAGTTTACATAAATTAACCAATCAAATTCTTTAATTTTGTATTATCTAAAAAAATCTAAGAAAATTTTATTATATATACAAATATATTTTTTTAAAATAATATAATAGTTTAAATTTTTACTATAACAGATAAATAATTTTATATATTTATAATATTATAAAAAATTTTTTTAATTAATTAAAAAATAAAAAAGTTGGAAAATTATATTTATAACACCATGTTATATAACACCTTATATAATATCTCAAAAACATACTAAGTAATTGGGATCGGGTACTCTAAGTAA